ACTCAAACTTGTATCGAGAAAGAATAAACTAGTTTTAATCAAGAAAGGACTTGTATCGTTGAAGTTTCTCAGAAAGAATTTCTAATGGAAATTATCAAACAAACAGATACGTAACAAAGTTTTTATTAATTTTTACTTTTCAGTGCTGACTGAAGGGTGGAAACCATTTTCAAGGAAGGACAACAAACAATATCAGATAAATGTTTTTTTATTTTACCCAACGTTTTGGCTTGCAACTAAAATTTGAGGATCTTTGAACATCATAGGTTACAAAACTGATCTTAAATTATAGTAACCATCACAATAATTTAAAGTCAGTTTTGTAGCTCATGACCTTCAAAACCCCAGAAAGCTGGAAATTGGGTAGAATAAAAACAAAACATTTATCTGAGATTGTTATTTTCCTTGAAAATAGAAGAAAGTAAATGGTTTCTTAGAGTTTTAATATACATCTGAACCCTACTAGGTCACTGATTGTTGTCTGCAGTCACAGTACTTCCAAGACAGATTCCAATACACTGAGAACAAGAAATCTGATAAATAATGCCCTTACATTAGTTGATAACATAGGCTACAGTGCATTGAATAGAACAACTGGGAAACAATGCACTCCTTATCAAAATTCTTTTTAAAAAACAACAATTTATTATATACAATAATAAAAAAAATTAGACTGTTCCTAGTCTGAAAAAAAAAAACACAATAAAATACTGATTAACTTACTGTACAAGATAAAAAAAAAGGATGCAGTAAAAATGTCAAAACATTGAGTGTTATGTTTCCAGTCTCATCATTTTTTTTACATCCTGTAATGTAAGGTTTTCAGTATTTTATTGTATTTTTGAGACTGGGAACTGCCATTTTTACAATTATTAGGTATAGTAACTTGTTGTTTTTTAAAAAGAATTTTGATTTCAGCATTTACACAAGTGCCATCTGAATATCAATGCACTCATTGTTTGCTAACATAAGCTACAATACCTTGAGGGTAATAATGCTAGTAAACAACGTACTCATTGTTTGCCAACATAGAGGACAAGAGCTTTTGATAAACAAGGCATTCACACTGTTTGTCAACAAAGGCATCTATGTTAAAAAAGTTTCATCATACTGTTTAGTTTTAATCTTGATGAAAAATTACTAAAAAGAAATTATTTAAATAAGAAATAAGAATTATGCACCAAATAAACTATGGTTATACAAAGTAAAACTGAAATGAATAACAATCTTTGTACTTGAAAACTGTTGCTGATAAGTTAATATCTCTCATCCCGATATTCTGTAAAAGAACACTTAACCATTCCACTATAGAAAATAATAAGATCAAAATTCAAAAAGGAAATAAATTAGTTTCCTTGTCATAAATCTCAAGAAAACAATATTGACAAAGAAGGAAACTAAAAACATACAGAAATTCAAAAATCTCCTTCCATGGGAACAAGTGAATGTGGTCCTAAACATTTATTGAAATCATGGTTACCTAGTGAAGACTTCCTGATTATTCTTTATCAAGGAAAACAAACACCTAATTAGCTAAAATTTTGATTTAAATGTAAACAAGGAATTTTCCAAAACCTAAATCTTGTTTTTCAACTCTCACTAAGAATGATATTTGGTTACAATAATCATGTTAGGAAACTGGTTCATGTTGTATTATCTCTTACAAATATAACAACTGTTACACATATGTTAACTGTTTCAGCATGGGCTCAGTCCCTGGGATGGACCTCGTAACCATTTTGTGCTCACTGTAGTTTTCATGTTACAACTTTTAAATTAGTAAACAAATGTTAACGATATTTGGCAGATTATCAGTAAACATTACAAAGCTTTCATTCCTCATAACCATTTTGTGCTCACTATAGTTTTCATGTTACAACTTTTAAATTAGTAAACAAATGTTAACGAAATTTGGCAGATTATCAGTAAACATTATAATGTTCAGATAGTTATCAAACATTTCTTATGAAAAAACTTTATATTTTATCTGATATTTTCAGTAATTAATCTCTGTACGAGTTCAGTAGATTTGACTGATCTCACAACCACCATAAAAAATTAGGAAAAAAATATAAATTCTGCCTCTTTCATTCTAGAATGAACACAAATTATAACACAAATGTTTAGACTAAATAGCTTAAATCTTATAATATGACACATTTATATATATTTATTACTTTATTATATTGACCTTTCAGCTGTGACTGGCTAACAATACAGAAGTTACAATGATGCGGTTCATGTGCACTCATGTTACCATATCAGATAACATAAAACTGACCTTTGGTCTGTACAAAGTAACTTGTCTTGGCTGTGTTTTAGTAGACTAGTATTTTGTAAAATACAGTCACATTTCAATTCTTATACATTATATATGTATATAGGTTATTGCTATTTTGAAATAAGTTCTTAAACTTATTTTTCTTAAAACATAGAACAGTAAATAAAGAAATAAGGCAAACAATCATCTCTTTTAGTTACGACCTTTGTATTCAGTTGCTGCTTGACGTAGATTGCTAAGCCTTTAAAAACTGTGCACACGGAGAATATGAAACAAAATATTTTTTTTAGGTTTTATATATACATTTGAATAACTAAAAAATCCTAAATTACTACATCAATACCATAGAATTCTACTGTAATTTATCAAGCTTAATAACTAAGATGTATTTTAGTCTAATAAAAAATAAAATTTAGAGCAGACGAAAGACACACCCTACCTCGTTGAAATATTGGTTCAAAAGAAAGAATTGGTGCCAAGCCTGTTAAAATAGCTGAGAAAGCCACTAGGGGGACATTCTGAGCTTCGGATTGGTTATTCATGTCGTATATAGAAGTAAGTGTATATGAGGGAGCGTTTCCATAAATGGAAAGAGGTTGGCTCAGTGCCACAGTGTTTGATTTATTATATGAGCAGTATCTTAGCAAATTGAAAAGATAAGAGGCTCTTATTTTATATTCTAGATTGTCAATATCGGTAATTTGAGTTTCTAATTCGTACAAGACTTCTTATTTTTACTTCACAAACATCTAATTTGAACCAGTACTGCATTCACAAAAATCTATGTTTATCTATGTTTTTTTAATATTTGCTTTTAAATTAAGAAATTGAGTAATATATAGTGCTAAAATTGGAATAATCTACAGTTTGATACCAAACTTATTTATATAAATTCATGAAATAGTAGTTCAATAAAATGTTGAATGCGAGTCAACAAAAGAGATGACATGGCCTTTCACCCATGACCCATCTCGAAAGGGTTAAATTTCATAACATTATACATTTATATATACTTATCATTTTTATTATACTGTCTTTTTAGCCATGCCTGGCTAATATTATTGAAGTTGCAATGACGCGGTGCACGTGCATTCATGTTACTGTATCCAAGAATATAAGACTGGCCTTTACAAAGTGAACTGTCCTACCTGTGTTTTAGTGGACTATTGTTTTGTAAAATAGTCACATTTCAGTTTTAATACATTATATAAATTATTACTATTTAAAATAATTTCTTAAATTTCAGTAATTTTTCTAAAAACAAAGAACAGTAAATAAAGAATTATAGAAAATAATTATCTCTTCTAGTTATGAACTTTGAATTTATTTGGTGCTTGCTGTAGGATGCTAAGCCTTATCAAATTTCACACGTGGAGGATGTGAAATGAAATAGTTCTTTTTAGGTTTTATGTATACATTTTGACAAAATCATAAATTACTATATTGATACCATAGAATTTCACTATAATTTATCAAGCTTAGTAACTAAGTTGTATTTGGGTCTAAAAATATGAAATTTCGAGCTCACTAAAGAGTTACCTTAGGGTTTGAAATCTGCCATGAAAAGAAAGAATTTCCTGCATGAATACTTTGCAAAGGCTCAGTATAACATCCACGTGGGGGACATTCTGAGCTGTTGATTGGCTATTTGCTCGTCGTAAACAGAAGTAGGTGTACATAAGCAAGTGTTTTCAAAAATGGAAAGAGGTGTGTGGGGCCACTGTGATTGATTCAGTAAATGTAGCAATATCTTAGCTAATAGAAGAGATAGGAGGTTCTTATTTTAGATTCTAGCTTGTCAATATTGTTAATTTGAGTTCCTTATTTCTAAGAAACTCTAGACTTTTTATTTGGACATTGCAAGCATCTAATTTGAACTAATGCTGTATTCAACCTGCCTCATGACACAAAAAATCAATATTTAGGATTTCTTCTTTAATATTTACTCTTAAATTAAGAAATTAATTAATAGATCATACTAAACTTTGAATTATAATCTAAAATATGATATTAAATTTATTGACGTACATTCATAAAATAGTAGTTCGATGAGAGATTGAATGCAAGTCTGCAAAAATGATGACATGGCCTTTGACCTGTAGAAAGGAAAGGCTTAATATAAGAATACACAGGTAAAAGTTATTGTTAAGTGAATAAAACACTAAATATATATATATATATATATATATATA